TCTAAATCTCCACATCGAATTCTAAATCTCCACACCGAATTCTAAATCTCCACACCGAATTCTAAATCTCAACGCCGAATTCAAATTGCTCACACCGAATTCCAAAGATCTGGGAGACTGGACCGAGTATTGTTTCATCGAATTGAATTATGGGGAAAAGAAAATGGCGACTAGAACAGTGATGACTGCGGCGCAACGATATCTCTTAACCGATTTTGTTCCAACTGCGGTATCGAGCTTGATCTCGAAAAGCTAACGATAAAGTATTACTTTAATGAGGGGTACGAGCAGGAAGTTATTTTGTGTTTTGTAAAATGGGGTTGACAGGCCTACACGACTCCCCAGCGCGTGTTTAGAGTAGCCTATTCAAAGTTTGGCCCTAACGAGTATGTCTTTGGGCGACCGTCCTCTTTTGTAAGGTACGAGAAGCGGATTTTTGTATATTTCGTTCAGTAGTGGTTGTGTTTCTATTAAATGCCAGTGTCTCATGAGAATTTGCTTTAGGTTTGGCACTGAATTCGGTGTGGAGATTTAGAATTCGGTGTGAGCAATTTGAATTTGGTGTGGGAATTTGGAATTCGGCGTGGAGATTTAGAATTCGGTGTGGATATTTAGAATTTGGTGTGGATATTTAGAATTCGGTGTGGATATTTAGAATTCGGTGTGAGCAATTCGAATTTGGCGTGGGCATTTGGAATTCGGCGTAGAGTTTTCTAATTCGGTGTGCACTTGTGGGCCACCATAGCTCCGTTAGACTTTCCTTTAATTTCGAATTCACCCCTATTCAAAGAGCAATTTTTATGGCAAAGTTTAAATCCGACATTAACCATTATCTGATCCAACTGTGCTTCGTGGGGCCAATAACACGAGAGACAAGTACAAATATCCCGCTATATTTGTGCTCCAGAAATATTCACGAAATCGACCCGCGACGATATAACAATTTGACTCGTTGGATAATAAATCTCTTATTAGAGGTTTTGTTGTGTAGTATCGCTGAGTATTTTTACTCGTAGGTTGTATTTTGACCTCCCTACGGGCTCGTCAAAATACGGCCCAACTCGTAAAAAAACTCAGCGATACTACATAACAAAACATGCAATGAGATATATTCATTGTGAAGAACCGTGAAAATAAATCTTTAACCTATAAGAAATAGCCTTTATTAGAGGAATATCACTTGGGTGATATTCTCGGATATCACCCAGTTTTTTCTGGAGAATATTCGTCACGTGATGCGTTTACACCAATTGCGCGTGAGAAAATATTTGATGGATCATAAATATGAAGAAAATTACCGAGCAGCGACTTTTAAAATTTAGGTAACTACTACTTTGGATTTTTGGCAATTTTTTTGAAGCATTTTGGATTTCCAGTGCGCAAATTTCCAGAATTCAGTTACGAATACAATCAGGGCAAGCCTATCAGAGGGTCTCAATGGAGATGACCGTTAGTCGTAACACCTCAAACTATACTACTGTGAGGTTTCAAAATTGACAAATTTCAACCGATCATCGTAAATTTAACCATAAAATAAAATCGCAAGTTTAACCATAAAAACTGTCTTGAAACCATAACGGAAAGAAATTACCTGTTGGCCGTAAAAGCCATCATCCTATTGCCGGACCCTCTTACTAAAAAAACAGGTTTTTTACCTTGATAAAATTTCGATCAACAACCTGTCATTTCTTAGCAAGAGTGCACCAACAGATTCTGTGTTCCCTTATTATAGCCACGGTGCCTTGAGAATACAGGGTATTCCCCTCTCTCTTAACTATCTAGTATCAAGACAAACGTCTTCCTATCAAGACAAATGCACTCTAACTTACTAACTCTTCGTTTATTGGACAGAAAACTGGTAGAAACCACTTGAAAAATCGTTGTAGCTACAACACTTTTTGGGAAGCTACACTAACAACAGCAAAAACAGAGGCAGGCGTGGTGGACACGCTCGTCAAAATATTCAAGGACCACAATGGCCACATCAACGCCATCGTCACTGAATATTCAAGGACCACAATGGTCTCATCAACGCCATCGTGGTGTCGCAAGCTGCTAGACGAAACCTGCAACATGTAATCGACATTGCTGAAACTCAAGACCTCTTAGACTGTTGTCAAAGGATTTTAATTAGAAAAGATGATCGCACAAGAAGGCTGTTTGAGTTTTGACACGAGAAAAATATGAAACAGGAGGATTACGGAAGCCGCTCGATAGCAATTCTACCGGCAAAAGAAGTAAGGTTGTTTTGAGAATACTGAAAGCGGCGTTTAAATTTCCTTATCAGAAATTTTATATTTCAAGACGTGGATCTGTAAAATAAGGACAAACATTCGAGGAAATGAACTTTTCAGGGGTGGTGAATGTGTAAACTTTCTCATTTTTAGTTAGGAAGTGCGGAGGTATTCGCAGAGTAGGATGGGGGGCAATATGTATCATTCGAAATTTTTTGCATTCCCATCGTTGTCAAACGCATTAACTATGAAGCCAATTGAACCTTATCATGTATCTTTGACTTTTTGGGGGGGTCTTCCAACAAAAAGGAGAGTATCTTGAAGGGGACTTTTGTTCACACACATTTGCACATTGGCAATGATTCTCACACACGCTGAGTAAGGGGACAGCGTAACACCGAGCAGAAATATGTATATGTATAAGAACAGTGGTATCTTGCGATTGGTCGACAGTCTCCGCCTGCACAACCGCACCTAAGAAAAAGATGAGGCGCGGCAGATCTTGGTTTGAGTTTGCTCAAACTTTTCATAATCTGCAAAGTCGTCTAAATCAACTTAGATAATTTGGATATATCAACAAAGTTGCAATGGTAAATTGGCCACCGTAATGATTACAAAAGCTGACGTTTCGAGCGTTAGCCCTTCGTCGGAGCGAATAGAGGAATTGTGGGTTGTGTGTGCTTTTAAAGGCAGAAAATGGAGCTACGTTATTGGTGGGTGCATGGCAACGAGAAAAACATGAATAAATTAGTGGAATGAAAAGCGTTCATTGATCCCTGTGGGATTTAGACTGCCGGTTTGAAAGATGAGCTTTTGTTCAAGATTTTTACGGCTTTCCGTGCCACCTAAGTGCAAGGAAAGACCGCAGATTGCCATATGTTGCTTAGAATGATT